GAACACGGCCACACAGCCCGGAAGACCCACACCAGCCATCGTATGCCGGCCGTGAAAGCCTTCGACAATACACCCTATATCTATTGTTTCCTTCACTGTTATTAGATTTTTATCCCACCTTTTTTATGTATAAGTTAAGGCGGCAAACATACCTAATACTCCTGCCTCCTATTTTCCCCACAACAATCCTGTGAGGTGGGTTTGGCTGGGCTGAGGCAGAATGACTGGCCCAAAGTTACCCAGCCTGCTTTCATGCCCAAGGGAGGCCTAGAACTCAGAGTCTCCTGGTTTCTAGCCCAGCACCTTCACCACTACACCAAACTGGCGCTTACTCCAAATCTTGCCTGCCACTTCACCACAGCTTTCCTCAGCAACGGCCTTGCTCCATCGCCTCTCAGTCCCCCGCTCGCCCACCCAAATCCTTCCTCCGGGGAAAGAGCCTGGAAGACATTTGAGGGAATTCAAGGCTGCTGCATCTCTCAGAAAGGCGTAGATCCATGAGTGGCAGGTACGGTCAGAAAGAGAGCTGGATTCAAATCCTTGCCCAAATTAAGCGAATTAACATGGCGAACTAGGCAAGCGAGAAGACGCTGCAACCAAACGGAGCCAACCCTTAAGACCAAATGGGACCACGAGGGAAACCGCCTGATGACATGAATGACTCTGGCCACTGAATTGTGTCACGGCAAGGACCAGACGCCACATTCCAGCAGGAAAAAGCGGGCGCGAAAGTCACAAGGACGCTCTTACACTTCTGCGCCCCGTGCTCAGGAGAGAGACAGGTAAGGACCCACCTTAACCGCCCTCCGTCTATGGCCGCCTCCTCGGGGATCCTGTCGCCCGCAGTTCAGCGCTGTGGCCGCGCTAGAACTTCCTCCAGCTTGTTTCTATCGTACCATAGAGTTGCAGAGAGGGCAAACGGGGTTAGTCCACTTGGGAGGAATTTCCGGTGGGGGGATAGTCTCTCTTCTTGATGTTGAAACAAATGCCCTTTAGGTCAGCGTTTCTCAACCTCAGCACCTTTAAGATGGGTCTACTCCAACTCCAACATGCCCGGCTGAGGAATTCTGGGAGTTGGAGTCCACCCATCTTTGATTGATTGATTGATTGATTGATTGATGCATGCATGCAATTTATATGGCCACCCAACTCACTCACGGTGACTCCGGGTGGCTTACAGGAATATTTCGGTCTGGAAAGCTAAAAATAAGCCGTTTCCGAGGGATTGGCAGATGCGTGTGACACAGGAGAATAATACAGTATTTACAAGCAGGCGCATCCAACCTCACGGAGTGACGTTCTGTGGTTACAGGGATAGGAGTGTTTTTACCGGAAGGAAGTGGATGTACCCGTCTAGCCCACTGAAGCTCTGTGGCTGCGGACGGTCTAAGCAGGAAGGCGTGGAGCGTGTCGTTGGTTGATCTTCCCAGACAGCCCGGTTTCCGGTCTCCTCCCAAGCGAGGCAGTTTTCTAGCTCCTTGTGGCCGTTGATGCTCCATCCTCTTCCTCCTCCTCCGTTGTCGTCTTTTCTTCGATACCAAGTCTTTTCGAGGACTCCCCCCTTCGTTGTAGGTTTGTTGGGGGATAGGCTGCGGCTCCGCCCCTTCAGGAATTGTGGGGAGGATGAATTGCTCCCCCCCCTTGGGTAGGGCAGGGGCTTGGTATGAGGGCGGGGGTCAGTTTTCCCCCCAGCACTCCGGTGGGGTGGGGGGTGGGGGGCTGGAAGGGGGTAGCATAATTTCTTCCCAATTAGAATGGTTCCTTTCCCGGGATGGAGCTTTCAGGCTCCTGTTCTCAGGAAGAGGAGTGGGACATTCTTGCGTGGGGAGGGGAGTAGAAAGGTGTTTGTGGGGGGGGGATTATTTAACTTGGGGGAGATGTCATAGTTTCCGCACGTGGAATCTGCAGACCTTAATAGCCCCTATTTTGCAAACAAAAATCTAAAGTCCACGAGGTGGACAAGTCCCCACCACCAAGGAACTTACAGTCGGCAATGGGAATGTTGGGGAAAATGAGGAAAGTCAGAAGGAATATTGGAAGGGAAAGGTTTGGACTGGTTAGATAACGGGGGTGAGGGGGGTGGAGAGAGAGGCTGGGGTTCCTTATGTAAACACCTTTTAAGGGAATTTGGGGTCAGGCGGGGGAGTAGGAGGGAATTTTCAGGAACAGGAGGGGACTGTGAGGTGAGAGTGTGCAAAGAATAAGTGCTATTCTTTGCACAGCCCCCTCCATTTAGCTCTATTCACTAATAGAGCTAAGCAAAGGGATTGAAAATAGTATTCCGGTCTCTGTAAGGCCATTTCTCCTCTTTGGTTGGGGAGGGAGGAGGAGGTCTGCATGTTAGGAAACAAAGATGGGAGCCATGGGAAAAGGAATCTGCTGTCCGTGAGATGGGATGGAGATGGGATGGGGAAGGAAGGTAGAGGTGTCTCCACAGTGGGCCAGTGCAGTAGGGGTGGATGTGGTCAGTCACTGCTTATAAAGTAAATCAGCAGAAGAAAAAAATAAAAGTTTATGTTTCTATTTATTAGAGTTATAGCTTGCCATTCATACAGGAGCTTGAGGCAGCTACATAGTGCCCCTTCCTCCTATTTTACCCCACAACAAGAACCCTGTGAGGTAGGTTGGGCTGGGAGAGAGTGACTATCCCCAAGTCGCTGAGGATGGACTAGAACCCTACTCCTAGTCCAACACCTTAATTTCTATATCACGCTGACTGCCTATGTAAAATGGTGATGTCTTATTAAAAAATCTTACAGAGCAGAGCTGGCAGGCTTTATTGTTGCGGATGAAGAATGGTACCAAGCCAGGATCTCAAGTAGATATCTGGCTGGGCTTCCTAGTTCATGGTTGGGAGTCAAGTAAAATGAATAAGATTTATTGTTGTAACTATAGGTCATAACATTGTAACATGGTACAAAATACAGTATAATAAAATAAAGTAATAAAAAGAGTTTTAGATACAAAGAGGTCAAAGCAAGATAAAGCCAGGGCTATGATTAAGAACTTGAGTTTAAATGACAGAGCAAAAGTAGCAATCTGGCTAACAGTTGGAAACACATATACAACATGATGATGCAACTGTTCGAGGTCCAAGCCCTTGAATTCACTTACAATTAATAGTTTGGTCATAATCTCATTGTGAATGGGGCAGTGGAGGACGTAGTGAATAATGCCCTCCACTTGACTGGCACCATGCGGACAGAGTGCATACAAAATCTCCCTTCAGGGTATCTGAAGGTATAGTCTGCAAGTGGATATAAAAGCCTTTCTCACTGGGTCACTGATAATATTAACCAGATACTTGGAGAGGCTTTTAGAAAATTTGGGTATCTGTGCTATAGTAGCATCTTTATTGGTGTCCCTTTCAAAAAACCTATCTCCAATATTTTCTCTGTTCCAAGAGCTGAGTTAGGATAGGTAACGAAAGTTTGGTCCATTGATTCCCAGTTGTGTAATGAAGAAAACAAAGTTTGGCAAGGTATGGTTCTTGAAGGTTTTCTGGTTTCTTATAGTGCTCCAGCAATACAAGATGTACTCTGACAGCGATGGAAGGTAGCCCTACCTCCATCCTTAGAGAAGCTGCGGGGGAGGGGGGGTGTCCCAAGATCTTCCATATGAAGTTGTTTTAGACTACTTCCAATTGGACAATTACTTTCTCATCCCATGCCCAGATCTCAGTCCCATACAGCATTTGGGCTATCAGCTTTCCCTGGAATATTTTAAGAGCAGGTGAGGAGGGAAATAGTTTGGTGCAATTCTTACAAAAATGTGCATGGTCTAAACAGGCCAAGAAGAGTCTTGTGTTGGGCTTGGTTCACACAACACACTAAATTCGAATCTGGTTAGCCACATTTTCCTACCATGTTTTGTGAACCAAGCCATGTGGTTAGTTTATCATTCACTGTGGAATGCCAAGCCTGAAAATTGGATTTTTTCCAGAAACCATTGTTAACTATGAGTAAGAGCACTGTGAACACAGCCAGATTGTAAGGGAAGAGTGTACTAAAAGCTTGATAGAGGGATTTGGAACTTTGCAGACATAGTGCTAATTTTATTTATTTATTTATTTATGTGTCACATTTATATAGCCGCCCATCACGCAAAGCGAGTCTGAGTATTTCTATTAGGAATCACTGTTTTCTCAACTGTGTGCTCGCTCAGGGGGGACAGTATTGTTTCATGCATGTTCTAGGAGAAACTGGATATCCAGATAAAGATCTGAAAATCATTTTGCACCCTTAACTGAGCATTTGTTTCTTGCCCTTGAAGACTTTTTGCATTTCTGCTTTGATTATATCCTGAATACATTAAAAACATTTAATTCCTAGGTCCCAATGTCAAACACCAGGGATGCAGACAATACAGCTTTGGTTCCCAGCCCTATGGTTAGCAATAGAGATAGTTTAGATTCCTGTAAGCCAAAATCAAATTTAATTTCTTTGAACTGGATAGGATTGTTTTTCCATTCCTTTAATCTGTTCTAGTTTAATATGTTCTCCCCACAATCACACAGACACAAATATATTTCTACCCTGTCATTAAGCAGGGGTTAATTTCCTGCCACAATATGGGGGTGGGCTAGTCTATCAGTTTTCTGTGCAGAAAAAAACACGTTGCTTTGAAATGCTGGTTCTTGCTGGCACCAGTGAAGCACCTCTTCTGATTAGACTCTTAAAGCTGTTAGGGAGAGATGATTCTCAGATTGGAAACAATATAGTTTGTGTCTTCATTCCTCTGAGGTTGTGGAGTCGGGGGGAGGGGGCTGCTATGATGAAACAGCCCGTCAGTCATGAGTGCTGCTTAACTGAAAGAAGCAGCTTCTGTGGGTTCATTTATTCTTTCCTGGCTTCTTGAATTAGAGCAAGGATGGGTGGTCTTTAGCTTCAGGGAAATCTTTTTATGATTTTGATTATTTATTTCTTGGATTTCGAGGCTGTCTGACTCCAAAAAAATGCTTATAATATTTCAAAGAATACATGCTTTAAAAGAAACAGGACACCCAGACAAAATTACACAAATAACATCCGGGAAAAAAATTGACAGGGCTTCCACAAATACTCTAACCCCAGGCCTGGGAACCCAGCCAGGTCTTAAGAACCTGGAACATTTAAAGAATGGGAGCACTATGTATTTCTGGGGGTGGGGTGCTGTTCCAGAGGGCAAGGGGTACAACAGTGATGGCATGCTTCCTTGGTCCGACAAGATGACAGTGTTTAATTGAAAGGACCTGGAGTGCATCCACTCTACCCGATTATACCAGATTGGCAGAACTAGTTGGAGACAGGCAGTCCCTTAAATAACCAGTCCCTATGCCATGAAGGGCTTAATAGGTGACAACCAGCACCTTGAATTGTATCTGGAAGCTGACTGGTAACCAGTGCAGCTCACAAAGCAGCGATGACACATGGGCAAAAAGTTGCCTATCCTACATATGTATTCCTTGCCCCCTTTGGAGGAACTACTATCTTGGAACAGAGAGAATATTGATAGGTTGCACTTCCCCATTCAAGATTAGTGCATAACTTGGGGGTCTTCCTGGATTTGCAGCTACTGTACTACTCAAAGAGCAGGTGGCAGCTGTAGCCAAGAGGGCCTTTGCACAGATTCACCTTATGCCCCAGTTGCATCCTTTCCTTGACACTCAGGTGGCCACTTATGCTTTGGTCACCTCACAGTTGGATATGGGGCTGCCCTTGAAGACCATCCAGGAGCCACAGGTGGTTCAAAATGCAGTGGTGCGGGTGCATCACAAGACTGTTCCCCAGGCAGAGGGAGTGCAAATCTCAGCAGTTTTGTCCACCAGATAGCATGAATACTCCTCGCTATGGCCTTGTAGATGTTCCAAGCCGTGACCCTGTCTAAGTCACTCTTTATCTTCCTGTAATGGTGCTGTAGGCATCTCTTCTTGCACTTAGTCTCCTGGAGCTCCTCAGAGAACCAAGGTGCACCCTAGAATCAGTGCACAGAGAGGCTGCATAGGAGTAATCCAGGCAAAGGCCTCAGTCACTGCCTATTCCAGACTGCAACCAAGGCCTCAGACGAGCTGCCCAGCAGATCCTCGGAAAACCCCAAGCTCCCTCCAGAACCCAACTGGGTCCATCAGGCACCTGGACTGGGCTGATCAAACAGGCCTATCTGCCTGCAGGGGTGAGTGGCACCAGCAAGCTGGAGGGCAGCTAGAGAGTGATCTGTCCTTGGCAACTGACTGATGGTAATATCCTTCAACACCAGCTCACATGACAGCTAAGCTGAGACAAAAATCTAGCATGCGACCCCTGGTATGCTGGTATGTGTTGAGCCCTCAATTACTTGGGATAGGTCTGTGGTTGACTTTATCACCATCTGTGCTTAAAGCAGTAAAGGAAATGCACTTTATAACAATTCTAAGCATAAAAACTGTTTCATATCTTCAAAGAATTGTCTCTCTCTCTTTGCATTGTTGTTCCTGTTACAGACTGATTGATGTTAATGCTTACCTGGTATTATAGATAAAATATAGCAGGATACTGGTTGAAGACCTTTTATTACCACAAAAATTACCACTTGCCAACTTGCAATTCAGCATCATCAGATATTAGGGTGGGTTATTAGTTTAATTTAGCCTGGAGCCTCAAACTTAGTTTCACAATAAAAGCTGGGGTTGATTATTAGTATTATTTGGCCTGTTAATTTACTTTGGAATGATTGTCATATAGAGGGTTGTAAAAAAGTTTGGCGTTTTTTCATACCTGGAGTACTAGTTGCTGTTCTGTAGCACATTGGAACAAATAGAGATTTACCGTTTAAAATGGATAAACGAAACAACTCTGTTCTGGAGCAGTCACAAATGCATTTGCCATGAAAAGAGCTACAGATTTCTTAAATTCTGTGCTTTTTTTTCCACGTAGGTGCAATAGGAAACTGAAGTCATGACAGACTCCAAATACTTCACCACCAATAAAAAAGGTTAGATTTCATGTACAATATGATGTTGCAGGTCCATGGTGGAAATTAAAGGTCATGATGTTTGCCTTCTACAATGGATACAGTCTGCCTCTGAATACCTCTTGCTGGCCTACATAACTAGATGTACAAGCTGATGTGAGAATTAAGATGAAACCATTAGAGAATGAAAGAGTGATGTGTCAGAGGTCTGTATGTTCATGCCTTCTGTAAATCAAGTGGATGAAGAGACTGGGTTGGTTCACACATGTTGCTACGCCATTTTTAAAATTACTTTATTAATAAACCATGATAGCATGGTTCATCTAACAAACTAAACTAAGCCAAGCCTAGCCAAGCTGAACAAATTAAAGCTTAGCCCCAGGGATTTTTTAAAGGAGGGTAGATGGTTTTTAATCAGTTGAAATGCAATGAAAAGTTATTTCCACCATTTCAGATTTTCCCCACACTCCTAGTTATTGAACTACTAACTTCAATGCATAAAGAACAGTGGAAAGAAAATTAATCTGACATAGGCTGTAGCAAGAAGAAAGAATATGACATGGATCTTAGTATTGATCCTCCAGCAAGACTCTTGGATGTGGCTGGAGTAACACAATGCATTAAGTTATGCTTTATTGAACCACGTTTTGGAATAAATAATGGTTGGTTGGGTTCATATAACATGTTAACGTGTAATTTACAAATCATAGCAATTGGATTCTTAAAATATGCAAAGTCAAAACTAAAGCCATTGATTGATTCATTGATTGATTTATAAGATTCATATGGCTGTCCATCTTAAAACACAACTTTGGGCAGCTCACAACAATAAAACCCCAGAACCATAAAAACAGAACTGTAAAACAAAAACAAAAACCCATCCATCAGTTGGAGTGGAGATGCAAATTAGATTTAGTCCTATCACATATGGCTGGGCTGGGATTTTCCTTTTCCCATTTTTCATTTTTGCAGGCAGGTTGGGTTTTCTTTTAAAAGATAGGTCTGAACGTCAGTTTCCCATATATTTTCAACTTCAGAGTAATGGGAAAAGGCTCTGCCGAATTTTCTTGTGATTACAAAAAAGGGGGCAGATTTTCCATGCCTGCTGCATGCGGAGCTCTTCAGGCAATGAATGTGGTAGACTGTCTCTTACCTTTAGGACTTTTTGACTTACCACTTGTTTGCTGAGGTTGGGATTACATCTTGCCCTTCAGTAGCAGATCACCTGCTAAGGCTGTGAGATTGGATAAGACAATTTATACACCTGCTGTTCTGATCATCCCTGACTATCAGAGGTTTGCAATCCTTGCCTATTCTTGCACTGCCACTCCTCTTTCTTCCCACTCTTAGATAATGAAGATTCCTGGCATCCAGCTAGGCTATTGATCTTCATAGCTGCCAACTCTCAGGAGCCATGCAATCATTAAACAAGCTGAGAGGGGGAGAATAGGATTCCTCCATTTCCCCCACCCTCTTCTGCTATCCTGATTAGTAGAGCCTTCCCTAATTCTGCCCTTTTGTTTAAAAGGATGTTTAATTTCCCCTCTCTTCAGTATCATGATTTATAAATGCTAGAAAGACTTGACAGCGCCTGTTGTAATAAAGTGTCTTCCAAAGATATGTGCAGAAATAATCCTTGCTCCCAGTGTTTCTCAATCTCAGTGACTTTAAGATGTATGGATTTTAACTCCCAGAATTCTGGGAGTTGGCTGGGGGGAATTCTGGGAATTGAAATCCACACATCTTACAGTCGTTGGGCTTGAGAAACACTGCTTGCTTCAATCCAGTGTGTGTTTGTACTCAAATCAGCTGCCCTCTTGGGTTTCTGAGAACCAAGTTAATTTGAGATACTCATGTGTAGGTTCCCAGTAGGTCAGAAACTCCTTTGACAATCACTCTCTCCCCTTTTTCTGGTTCGAACTGATTATAGGCTTATAGCAGGGGTGTGTAAAATTCATCAAGTCGGAAATTGAATGTTCTGTTCCCAGCTCCAGACCATTGCAAACAGCCATGGCATCACAGATGGCCTCCGAACCACTCCTGGAACAGCCTGTTCTGTGAAAAAGTATTTACCCCCCTTTTAGATATTCTGAATTTTTGCATATCTTTGTTCCCGAACAGTATCAGAAGTTTGAGTAGGTCCGACTGGGCTCTGATAGCATGCAGTGGCAAAGATATTTTTAAAACAGGGACAAATTACTTTCTCACAAAACTGTACATGCTATCTCTTGGTTTCCAAAGCAATGGCTGTTAAAAATCTTTAAGTGTCTTTAATCCTGCTGCTGTCTGCTGGAGTTATTTTTCAAGTTGTGCCATTTTTGAGCATTGTCTTTTTCACTCTTCTATATACTTAAATTGTGAGAGCACTTAGTGAGAAGCCTCACAAAAAATAGCTGCTGGGGGGAACCTGCGTGTTCACAGAATGGCTGTCTGGCAAACGGACCTAGCCGCAGAGCCGTTTTCCCAAAGAGGAACTGGAGAGATTGCTCCCTGTCCCTTCCCTCCGGTCTTCAAGTATGTGCCAAACGATACTTGGTCTTTTTTCTGGGTGGAGGTGCATACTTTCAAACAACGCGCACTGAGCTGCATCTGCCCACCATTTTCTAAGCAGGCCTGTGGAGTCAGTGCAGAATCCCAAAGCCATTCCTAAACCTAAAGTTGATTCTAGAGGCTGGTGCCCAATGAATATTTTTTTTTCCAAAAATCTACAATGTAATTAAACTCAGGGGAGACGGGGAGCCTGGCAGTCTCCAAGGGAGGTGTTTGCAGGCACGTTAGTTTTCTTCCTCTGACCTAGTTGACTGAGGCAGATGTTCTTCTCACCCTTGTGTAAAGAAGGAAATAATGGAACTTGGAAAGTTTAAATGCAAGGGATGTGCTCTATCACTTACTTGCAGTGACTCTTCCAGAGTTTACTCTGTGATCAACCTTATTGTCTGGGTTCACAAATAATGTGACTGTTGGTTTTGTGTACTTCCAGCCACTGTGGCTTTTAAATCATGATTTAGCAACTTTTTTTTTTTGCAAGACCCTGAATGCCTTTCAATCTTGCTGAAAATTAGGGGCATTGTTTCTCACCATTTGTGGATAGAAAACATGAGAGAGAAGTATAGACTATGCTCTATAGTAGACTTACCAGCATTTAAAATAAAGAAAAAAACTGTGAATATTTAAAAACACTTTAATAACTCTGAAAATGAAGAAAAGCACCTGGACTCTTCCCAGAAAACTATATGTGACTCAGGCTTGCCCACTTGCATTCTTGCCTGCCTGTTGTGGCCCTTAATTCCACAGATGTTAAGTGTAGTTCCAGGGCATCAAAAATTTGCCCACTCTGGTTTATGGTGTTGTATGTGAATCAGGCTCTATGGCTTTTTTCAACAAACCATAGTTAAACCATGGCTTATTATGGCATCTGTATCCAGCCAGTGTCTTGTCCAAACTCTCTTGTAAGGTCCTCAAAGTACCTCAAAATATGAAAGAAAAAGGGAAAGAATCTGATTTCTTGCTGCAAGTGAAGCACATTTTGTTATAGTATTGTTCACTTATCCATCAAGCAGCTGCTGAAAGAAACTGGGCCCTGTGCTTCTTGGATTTTTTTCCCCTCCACTCCTGGCACGGAGGATTTCATTCTTCAACAGCAGTCAGCCACTGCATAAGGCTGAAGAAAAAGGGCTCCTTCACGCAATTTTTAAAAATTAATTAATTAATTAATTAATCAAATTTGTCACCACCCATCTCGTTGAAACGACTGGGCGGTTTACAAAACAGTTAAAATCAATTAAAATTACAATATGCAATAATCTTAATAAATAGAAAATAAATAGATCCAAGGATAAATATAAAATTGGCAGTCAGGGAGCATCATCAAGGTGCCAGCCACCCCTAGGATTGGGTAAGATTGTTGTCATTCCACGCAAGCTGGCAGAGCCAGGTCTTTAATCCTTTCTGGAAGGCCGGTAGGGTAGGGGCCTGCCGCACCTCTGGGGAGAGAATATTCCGAAGGCCAGGGACAATGGCAGAGAAGGCTCTCCTCCTGGGCCCTGCCAGCCGACATTCTTTTGCTGATAGGGTCCACAACATGCCCTCTCTGCCTGACCAGGTGGGATTAATTAATTAATTAATTAATTAATTACCATGCAATTAATGTGTGAAGGTCATTCTTGTAGGCTTTGGTTAAAGTGGCCCAGTTTGCTTTAAAGCAGGGCATTGGTGTACGGATAGTCCTTGTTTAGCAATTGACTCATTTAGCAACTGTTTGCTGTTAATGGTGATGAAAAAGTAACTTTGCAACTGGTCTGCGCATTTAAAACCTTCGCAGGTCTGTAAAGCAAAGGAAAGCTGAAATAAAATGTGATGTTTCACTTAGCCACAGCTTCACTTAACAACCGAGTTGCCAGTCCCAATTATGGTTGCTAAATGAGGATTGCCTGTATCTGCCACAATAACTAAATGTTTGGGTCTTACTAAGTTCAGGGCAGTCACATCTGACTGAGTGCCAGATTCTAAGGCCAAGCCGGAAGAATCATAAGCATTTCCTGGATGCCTCTGTCATTCACTGCTGAAAGCAGAATTCTTAGCTTGGTGGGGTGGATTAGTCTGCTCTTGGTGGACTCTCTTGACCATTGTCCTCTTATGTTTCTCTCCAGGGGAAATTTTTGAACTGAAAGCTGAGCTCAACAATGAAAAAAAGGAGAAGAGAAAGGAAGCAGTAAAAAAAGTCATTGCCGCCATGACTGTGGGGAAGGATGTCAGGTAACATCTCTCTAGTGGCTTTCATGTGCTGTTTTTCCCACTTTTTCATCCAGGTGTAATTTTTAATGAGGTAGAATGGAAAAGCGATTAAATGCATAGGAAATGTGCATGTGTTTGCTGTGCCCAATGTTTAAGTAGCATGCCAAGGGCCATCTTCCAAAGGCCAAATATGGCCCCCAAAACGTTGCTTTCAATCAGTGTTTCTCAACCTTAGCAGCTTTAAGTTGTGTGGGCTTCAACTCCCAGAATTCCACAGCCAGCATGCTGGCTGGGGAATTCTGGG